TCCTTCTGCTGAGCACTTCCTCCTCCCTGACTTACCTCAAAATCAAGTCACTCTAGTCAATCTGGCATCTCCTTTGCACTTACAATCATATGTCCATTCACCTATATTAGTTTTTACTTCCATGTCTTCATTGGATCTGTTCTTTATCTTATGTGTTAATCACAACTCCATAATATTTATTCAACAAATTTATTAAGCACCTGCTATATTCAAAGAATTCTGCTAGATGCTACGGAAAATACAAAGGTTAGATAGACAGTTCTTGCAAAGTTACATTCTCATATATTATCCGTCTGTTCAGGGTATGAAACACTTACATACATAACCATGGTGTATACCATGTTATGTTATTTTTAGCTGGTTGATATAGGGAGCAGTAGAAGGAGATGGTTAAAAGATGAAAAGATGGTATAAGTGTGTATGAAACTAATGCAGAGATTTCAAGCCAAGTAGAATTTCAGTGAGGCTAATGATTTTTTAAAACTACTTGCAAGGCTGGATTATTCCATGGACTGGTATTAATTATGATCTAATAGAGTGAATCATAGAAATCACAGCACCAGAATGATTTCTTAACTGCAAGTTGGTTTTATTTTTCTCTGAGGATAGTGTTTGTAGGAAAATGTGGTAGTGTGAATAGATTTGAATAAACTACTATATTTTAAATTAAATTCAAAAGCTGTATTCAACATTATGGTTGAGATTTTACACATACAAAATGTCAGGAAATTCAGAGTTATGGTTCCCACAACAGCTATAATTCAGCCAAATTGCACATATGTATTAAGGCATTAAAGTTAACACTCTGTACAGCCATGTAATAAAGTACATATGTGAAAGAAGACAAGTTACGGTAGCTTTGGGAACTATAATTTTGCATTTCTTGACTTGTGTGTTCAGAATTTCAATTTAACTTTGCACTAATTTAATTGTCGAATTTTTTTTATGCATGAATACATCTTGGTAAATTGCTAACAGTGTGATAAGAGAGAACTCTGCATGAATAGCATGTAAATTTAAAATAGTTTTTGCTATGTCTAAGTGAATATTTTTAGATATAAAGTATTTCTTAAATAAATTTTCAGATTATAAAAAGTATGAAGATTTGAAGTTTAACCCATCTGAGTTTTTCAAGGGTAAACAAATGATTTTTAAACTTTTTTAAAAAAAGGAATGGGAGTACTAAAATGTTCTTTCTCTCTATAATTTAAAATGATTGGATAAATCACATTTTTCTCAGAAAGCATTTAAATTAAATGTTCGCAGCACACAATCCAAACTCTTTCTGTACTTGCAGTACACTGTGATTTAATTTTTGCTGCAAAGCTTCCACCCCTAAAAGTACTATGTGGTTAATACAGTATTTCTTTTTCTTAAGTTAATTAACACTAATTTTGTTTTGAGAACTTCTTGACATCCCCTTGAGATCTAGGTTTTAGAGTAAAATTTCCACAGGAAAAGGAAATTTTTTTTTAGAAAAAACTTAAGCACTTGAATGCAGTTTAATTGAAGGTACCTTGAGGTGAAATTCAACAGGATAATCAAGATCCTTACAAACATTCCATGTATTCCCATGAGGAACCACACAGGTCAAGCTTATGATTTCATTTTTCATCTGTGTTTCTTTTCGTTAAAGAAGACATTTGGGCAGCAGATTCTTGAAATTTGATTTGAGTTCCAAATTGGAAAATGAAAGAGCATTATTTATGAATGCTGAGAATCAACAAAGTTTCAGAATTTGAAGGGATTTCAGATTTTATTAATATAATCCCTAGCTGAATGGGAAATTCCTATAAAATATCCCTGATAAATGATCATTTAATCTCTTTTAAACAATCTCTAATAATGGAGAACTCACTACCATTTAAAGTAGCTCATTCCACATTGAGACAACTAATTGTCAGAAAAATTGTCAAAAATTGCCATTTTGGTGGGATCAATCAATATATTTCTAATTCATTTTACACGTTTTGCCCTTCAGACACTTCAGGACAGCCAGCTTGTTTTCAGGCTTTTAAATATCTCCAGTTCTTTCATCCAGCCCTCATATAGCTTGGTCTCAGTCTCTCTGCCATCTTAATCTCCCACCTTCGATCACACTTCTCACTTTAAGGGCCCCAATTGGGTCTTGGTGCCTAAGATCAGTTGCTTTTTCTTTTGCCAACCATTTCACACTGATTGTATGTATAGAGATTGCAGTCTGGTAAAATCTCCCAGATTTTAAAAAAAATAATAAACTATGCCTCCCCATCATGTAACTCAAATGTCAGACTTCACATTTGTTTCTACAAAATTTCATCTTATTAAATTTGCAACATTGTGCCATAGTGCAAGAATTTTTTTGGTGCATATTGTATTAGTTAGTCTTCCAAGCCTTAAGTTTATCTATAAATTTTATAAGCATGTCATCTATGCCCTTAGCTGTTGGTAACAATGATAAGAACAGAGCTAAGCACAGATTTCTGTTCAACCCCCACTCAAAAAAAAAAAAATCCACTGGCTCACTCTTACCTCCAGGATCAAACTCAGAGTCCTCCTTTGGCATTTAAAGTGCTTCACAACCTGGTCCTATATAATGCCTTTCCAGCCCTCTTACACTTCATTCCCCTCCACGCATTCTGTAATCTAGCCACACTGGCCTGCTTGCTAGTCCTCAACAGACAGCACTCTTATCTTCCATATCTGTGCCTTTTGTGTTGAATGTTCCTATGCTTAGAATGCTCTCCCTCCTCACCTCCACCTCTTAGTTTCCAGGACTTCCTTCAGGATTCAGCACAAAGCCCACCTCTTTGTAGTAGGCTTTCCTCCCCTCTCCACTACTAATTCCTTTCCCTCCAAGATTACCTTCTATCAGGGGTGATATCTGGAAAATGAAATTAAGGGGTGAGAGAGGATTATACTGGGAGAAAGAGAAAAGGAGAGGTAGAATGGGGTAAATTATCTCACATGAAACAGTCAAGAAAAGGCTTTTACAGTGGAGGGGAAATGGGGAAAGGTGAGAGGGAATGAGTGAATCTTATTCTCATAGGATTTGGTTTAAGGAGGGAATAACATACACACTCAATTGGGTATGGAAATCTATCTTATTCTACAGGAAAATAAGGGGGGACGGGTACAAGAGAGCAGGGGGTTGATAGAGGGGAGGGCAGATTGGGGGAGGGGATAATCAGAAGCAAACACTTATGAGGAGGGACAGGGTCAAAAGAAAGAATAGAATAAATGGGGGGTAGGATAGGATGAAGGGAAATATACTTAGTTTTTCACAACATGGCTACTATGGAAGTGTTTTGCATGACTACACATCTGTAACCTGTATCAAGATGCTTGCCTTTTCAATGAGGATGGGTGGGGAGGGAGAAAGGGAGAAAATGTGCCACCCAAAGCTTTAAAAACACGTTAAAAAAATAAAAAGAAAAGAAAACAAGATTACCTTCTATCTATTCTATGTGTACCTTGTAATGTAATTTTCATGTTTGTCTCTCTTCCCCTGCCCCCCCCAATCAGATGCAAGTTCCTTGATGGCAAGAACAGTTTCTTTGTATCCCTAGCTTTTACCACAGTACCTGGCACAGAGTAAGCCACAGAATGCTCATTAATTGACTGGCTGACCAATTGGAGTCACTGACTACTTGCTAGGCACAGTCATTCAACCAATTCCAAATCTATTCAACTGTTCTAACATTCAGCTTTTATCTCTCTATCATGACTGCAAGGAAAACAAGAGAGACTTTTGTCATATAGTTTGCAAAACTCTAGGATTCTCCTTACCTACCAGTCTAGGTACTCCGTCAAAAATGTCCAGCTTGATTTGTTATTGATTAAAACCAGGAAACTTCTCAGTAGTCATGACCCTTTCTAAATGCCCACAGGTTCTCCCTTTAACAAAAACAAAAGAATCAAGAATCCAAATCAAGCTCACCAGTCTATAGTCTGACTATCCACTACCTCCTGGCAGCTGGAAAAGTTAATGTGATCCAGTGCTACACTTAAAGAGGCATAGCTTCAAGGAGTAAGGAAGTGATAGTCCAACTGTAGCACTCTCTTCCAGTTAGACCTTATCTCAAATACCGTTTTTAGTTCACATTTTAGAAAGGACAGATAAACTAGAGAGTATCCATAGAAGAGAAACTAGGGTAGTGAAAGGCCTAGAATCTGTGTCATTCGAAGTTTGCTTTAAGAAAATGGAGGTGTTTGGTCTAGAGAAGAGGAGACAGATTTGTAATGGCTGACTTCAAGTTTTTGAAGGGCTATCACTTAAAATAGGAATTTGACTTAATCTCTTTAGCCACAAAAAGTAGAACTAGTGACCTGATTGGGGGTGGAAAAAAGGCAGATTTACCTTTCATCAAGGAAATGTTTCCTAACAATTTGAGCTGTCCAAAAGTGGAATGAACTGCCTTTGCTAGAAGGCATCTTGCTAGAGGGCCTCAGGGTACTATGGGCTGGCTACCCCAGGGTCCATTTACTCAGACAATTCCAAGTCAGCACAAAGTTGAATGAACACTTGCTAGATGGGAATTTTTTTCAGGTATGGGTTGTATTAGATGTCTACTGAGGTTTTTTCCAATTCTGAAATTCTTTAAAGTTTAGTTCTACAGAAAATTTGGGGAATATTTCTGGTAGAAATTAGAAAGGCAGCAGGAATAATATGAGCAGTATTAATACCAGAGTTTTAACATGGTGGATGGGGTATCAGAGTAAAACTTGAAGTCTGAAAAGATCTGTGTTCAAAGCCAGCTTCCAGTACTTATGAGTACATCATTTAACCTTATTTTACTCATTTGAAAAATGGAGCTAATAATATGTAATAGTATCTACATTACAAAATTGTTTTGAGGATCAAATTAAATAAGTTAAATTTAAGTAAACTTTAAAGTACATTTCAATTAAGAATATCTATTATTACTACTAAATAAGTATCCTTTTGTAACTATATGCCAGTTATTAGTCACATCCTACCATCTCTAATATTTTAATGAATCTATGATCTCTTTGACTAGAACGTGTGACCAACTGCGGTGTACAGCCTGTGACTTCCGTGTATTAAGCTTTGATGACTATAAGTGGGATAAATCCTGTGATTATCTGTTTTTCAGGTATGTTCCAAAAAGTCTCAAATTAATACTATCTTTGAAAAATTTGTCCAGAATAGTTCATTATTTCTTGTTCTGCTTTACAATCTCTTTTCAGTAATAAAGTGAACAAATTCAGCATTTAGTGTCTTTCTAGACATAAGACATATTTGAGTGCCTTTTTGTTTCTTTGTGGGAATCTTGCTACAACACTGTTTACCATATAGTGGTATATACTATATGGCACGTTATGTTGGTCTTCATCCTAGGGAGTTTGGTTACCGAAATACGAAGTGAACTTTAAAATAAGTAAATCTTATCTATCAGGCATATGACCCTAAAAATAGCTTTATAGCAACAATTCAGTATACCATACCTTTGAATTCCCTCCAACTACCTGTTAAGCTTAATACAATAAACCCTTCAGAACTATAGAGATTTAAAAACTTTTCCCACCATATGGCTTCTTCCCTTAGCCTTAATATAATTCTTTAAACTAACATAAGCCTAAAGTTTGTGCAAGGTTGTTTTAGTCTAATAATGAATTGCTGGGTTGTAGCCATTGGCCTTTATGGCTTTTAGTCAATCAGTCAATCAGTAAACATTTATTAAGTGCCTGCTATATGCCAGGCACTGTGCACAATAGTAGACTTTCTTAGAAAACATTCAAAAAAAGACAAGCACATAGGAGCTTGTATGCCTGGGCAGTAGTACTCAGTTATGTAAATTCCAAATATAAAGCCAGTTTTGAACATTTGTACAATCCTACTATGTTATCAACATTATCATGAGAATAAATAAGGAAGACATTTTCTCATCCAGGACCCATTGTCATCACATACATATGTGAGGGCCACCCTCACTCACATCCTCACGTAAATCTACAGAAAGTTTCTCTCTAATAGTATCCCTGAAACTTAGTGAGATATAACTCTTGACTGTAATAGGGCAATGAGGAAGGATATGCTTTGTTCAAGAGAAACATTAAATAGAAGGAAGGTAATATAGGAATATTGTACATCAAGAAAATATTCACAAGTGTGGAAGTTCCCAGAATTAAGGGAGGAGAGAGGCATGATAGAGCATTTGGGTGAGGATTAACAGAGAAGAAATAGAGCAAATTGGTGGTGGAAATGTACGATAAGCCACCAAACCATCTGGAGCAATTAGATGACAGAGTCATGAGACAGACCACAAAGCTGGCATGGAGGCTGAATAAATACAATTGTGACTGTAGAGAAGGGAGTCAGGGGAGGATGTTTAACTATCAGAACAAACATTTACTGGAATTCTCTGTCAGCTAAAAACAAAACAGATGATACATTTTTTACTTATCTTGCTGATCATTTCATCTTTCAGAAGGTGGAGGAAGAGACAAAATGTACTGCTGTCCTTGACCTGATTCTGACCATTAAGGAAGAACTGGTTGCTGAACTAGAGATGACAAGGCCCTTAGGAGGCAGTGACGAGGCTTTCTTAGTGTATGTGAGAGATAAGGAGGGAAATACTGGTCTTAGTCTGATGTGAATTCCAGACTTAGGGAGTACAGAGTTCAGAGATGCAGAGAGTTTCATGATCTGAGGCTATAAAAAGGAACTTGGCTCAAGAGGAATGGAAAGCTTTCCAGAAGAAAATTTTAATGACACCATCACTTCTAATTTTGATAAGGAAGAAGGGTCTGAAATGGCTTTAAAGGGATCTTACTGATCAACTCATATTTTAAAAGAACATGTACAAGAGATGGAAGCAAAGTCAAGTAATTCAGTATGAAAACAATCTTGGGAAAGACAAAGCCTGATTTGAGCTAGAGCTTGTGATAAATATTAAAGACAGTAAAAATTATATTTTTTACTAAAAAGGGAGAGCAAATAAAAGGTATAGGACCCCTGCTTACAGTATAGGTAGGAAGATGATTATTGATGACTGAGAACATAGAACTCAATTACAATTTTGCTTTTGTTTTCCTTACCATGGAAAATAATCTTTGGACTTGGAAAGACAGAAAAATAGAATAGGAAATTGAAATCCAAGATAAGGAAATAATAAGAGAGTATTAACTGTCTTTGGTGAGCTCAAGTCACCATGCTTGCATGAAATGTATCATAAAATTGTGGGTATGATTATTGAACTGCTGTCAGTGATCTTTGACGAAATGTGGCAAATGGGCGAGGGCCATACAACTAGAAACAGACAAATGTCTTGATTTCCAAATGTGACTGTGGGGGATTAGACACTTCAGACCACAGGCTGGTGATTTTTACTAAAATTCCTGGTAAAATTCCAGGAGAGATTATTAGAGGGATGATTTCTGAGCACCTGGAAAAAGGTGATCTCTAAGAGCCAGTACAAGTTCATTAAAAACAAGTCATAGCAAAATAACTTTATTTCCTTTTATAGAAATTGTTACTATATTGATACATTAGACATACACCATGAACATAGTATATCTGAATTTCAACAAGACATTAGGCAGAGTTTCTTGTAGACACGGTGGAGCTAATGTGAACTAGATGGGTACATCTGGAATTGGTTGACTGGACCTAGAAAGTTTTAATTAATAGATTTATGGCAGCTTGAAAAGAGGTTTCTAGTAAAATGCTCCATTGCTGTTCTTAGTTCTATTCTGGTCAGCATTTTTATCAGTGACTTGAATGAAGGCACAGATGATGTGCTTATCAAATGTCTGAATGGCATAAAGCTAAGAGGGATAATTAGTATATTCGATGATAGAACTGGAATCCTAAAACATTTTTAGAGACTAAAATGGTGAACCAAAAAATAATAAAAAGAAATTTAATAAGGGTAAATCTGAAGTCCTTCACCTTAATCAGTTGCACAAGTTACAGAATATGACTAGAAACTAGTTCACGTGAAAAAGATGGGAGCTTCTCACAAACTTCAGTCTTATTATTAGTCAGCTGTGTGATGTGGCAGCCCAAAGAACTAATGCTTCATTAATAGAATATGGTGCTCTGAGCAGCAGAGGTAGTGTTTCTGCCCTGGTCAGAGTGCATGGGAATGATTGTTTCTAGTTCTGGGCACCATGTTTTAGCAGGGATGTTAACAAGCTGGAGTGTATTCAAAATGAGGTGACCAAAATGGTAGAGACTTGAATCCATGCCATACATGGATCAGTAGAAGAAACTGGGACTGTTTAATCTGAAGAAGAGAGAGTTGCAGGACTAGAAAACGCCGCATCTCAATTTTCAAACAGGAGCGAGGGGGAGTGTTCAGATATTTGAAGAATTATTATCTGGAAGAAGGACATGTCATGTCCTTGCTTCTAGAAAAGAGAACTAAGAGCAAGAGATGGATATTACAGGAAAACAGGCTTCAGCTCAGCATGAGGAAAAACCTTCTTGCTATTAGAACTGTCAAAAGGTGAGATGAGCTGCCTCAGAGTGAGCGGCAAGTGCCCCTCACCGCAAGTCTTTAGGAAGAGGCCGGATGACCACTTATTGGAGGCGTTATAGATGGGCTTCATGATTTGGGAGGCGTCTCATGCCGAGGTCCCTTCCAGCTCTCAAGTCCTGTGATGCTGCTGTGGTTTATACCGGCTCACCCCACAACCCAGAGATTAGGAAGCCTGGCTCCTGGAGATTTGTGTTAAGCTTTGTGTTCATTTTTACTTTACTTATTATACGGAACTCTTTCATCCAGCATCTTATATTAATCTTTACTACATAATGGGATTTCATACACACACACACACACACACACACACACACACACACGAGAAAGTATTTTATAAAGTATAAAATGCCATGTATATATGAGCTATAATTGTAAATTGTACCTCCACTTGACATGGAGTTAACCTAAGTTCTTGAAAATTCTGCCAGTGAAGAGTAAGCTCTGTCAGAGTCTACAAGTCCAGCCACAAAATGCATCTCAGAGAGGCTTATCACCAGCAAGTTGGCAGCTAGTCATTACATTTTTTTAACCCTTTATACATCTACTAAGTATGGAAAGGACATGACCTATACCAGCAGGGGAAGTAGCTATCCCACTGAAGTCTTTTGAAGTATTGACATAAAAAGCAAAATATACCATTTCAGTAATTATAAGTTATTTTTTTAAAATCTAAAATCCAATAAAATATACTTACCACTAAGACTGAAAGCAAATGTCATTTAATCTCTTTTGATGATCCACTGGGCACTTAAAGGTCATGTATTGCCCCAGAGTCATAATAAACATCAAGTGTTTACTGTTACAGGTATGTGGAGGGGCTGGTCCATATGGTGTTCTGGTTAACAGAAGGCTGAGTGATTATAGCTAAATTAGCATTGAGCACCTCCTATGTGCCTAGCATTGTGCTGGATACTCTAAGAAGAAATAGATACTACTCTTGTGCTCCCGATGTATACTACATACTCATTTGAGATATCTGTTCAGAAGGCAATTAAAGAATTAGTATGATTAATATACAGAACTTCTTATAAATGTTTTTCATATTGGCATTTATACACGACAAGATGCTTTGTAACCATTCGTTTTCTGCTACATTGAAGCACTGTAAAGTGAGTTTTGTTTGCCTCGTGAAGAAGAAAAGGCATGAAAGAATAGAGCATGTAAATGACACTTGGCTTGTTTTTAAATTGTGTGCTTGTCCACACCGACACATGAAGAAATAAGGGACCATTTATGAGTCTACATGTCCTAGTACTAGAGCTTCATCTCAGGGATCAGGAGCACCTGGGTTTGAGCCTTGTCTCTGACACCTTCTAGCTGTAAGACCATGAGTAAACTGCTCAATCTCTCAGTGTCCTAGGCAACTCTTAGCAGACTCTAAGTTACAGACATACAGACATCAGTACAGGGAATTTCCATGCCCAGCATCCCCCGCACTGATGAAATCACAGATTCAGACCTTCCACCCCACCCCCTAAAAAAATGCCAAACTAAAGGATATGCTTCCTTGGGAAGAAATATTTGGGTGATCTTTTTATTGAAGATTGGCAAATTTTGTGTTTTAAAAAAATTTTGGATTGCCTTTATAGCAATTCTTTCTATTTCTTAGCTCCCGACTATTTCAAATACATATTAAACATATTAATGCTTATAAAAATGTTAATTCATATATATATATATAGTAAATTGACTAGAGGACATTGTCTTTAATTTAGCCATCTTATTTTTCTTCAATCTGATCTAAAATGACATTTGCTATACAAAAATACATTTGTTAATTATAGTGCCCATTTGGCCACCAGAGGGCACATTATATTTGTATGCTACAATGTAAGTAGCAGATGATGCATATGATGCTACATGTCCTTTTATAGTTTTGATCTGTTTTACTTTTCCTTTTGATATCACTGGGAACTTTACTTTTTTCTATCATAGGAAATTTATATAAGTATCTCCAGTTTATTATGAAAATAACTGATGAGCTCAGATTAAAACACAATAACTTTTTTAATGCTGTTGGTCATGTGGTAACTTTCTAGGGTGGTCACTATCATTGATTTAATTATTTTAACCGGGAGCCTGCGCTTTGGGTGGCTTGTTCTGCTCGCCACAGCTGCGTTAGGTGGCATCGTCAGAGAGCACGAGAAACCAGTATTGTTCCGCAGAGGTACCGGGCAGAGTGATGATTCTGATATTTGGGATGATAAAAGCATATGACAAAGCTGTGGCATCATTTAAGAATGCTTTAAAGAATGGTGAAATTTCTGAAACTTCAGACAAACAAAAAAATGCTGGACCAAAAAGAAAAAGTATTAACAGAAACAAGAAAAAAAGTAACCCAGCCCCACTGAAACAGTGGAAAGTTGGTGATGCTTATTGTGCAGTTTGGTCTGAAGATGGTAACATATATCCAGCTACTATTGCATCAACTGATCTGAAGAGAGGGATATGTCTTGTAGTTTACACTGGCTATGGAAATAAAGAAGAACAGAATTCGTCAGATCTTCTTCTTCCAAAGGAGTTCGTGATAAAGAACCTATACATGAAAATGAAAATGAAAGTCAAAGTCAGTATTCAACAGATGAAAGTGAAAAATCCTCCAGATCACCTGGAAGCAAACAGAATCATATCAAATCCAAAGCTGCTCATTGGAATTCTTATTTCCCTCCTCCACCACCACTTCCTCTTCCAGTGCCAGGGCTAGGCAAGCCTGGACTGAAGTTCAGTGGCCCACCACCCTTCCTCACAGGCTGGCCCCCACCATTTCCTTTGGGACCACCATCGATTCCTCCACCACCTCCCATGTCTCCGGATTCTCCTGAAGATGCTGATGCTTTGGGAAGTATGTTAATAGCCTGGTACATGAGTGGCTATCATACTGGTTACTACCTGGGCTTAAAACAACATCAAAAAGAAGGAAGACACCAGCACTTCAATTAAGGAGTACAAATCTCTCCCAAGGAGAGTGGTATTTTATCCTGTCCTGGTTGTGATGAACAAAGTTGGTTTTTTCCGCCCTCTAAGAAGACTTGACTGGAGAGCGCAATCTATTGTATAATTGTTGAATATGTTCTAATGTACACAAGGTTTTTAATTTCTTAATCAGCAAAGTATATTTAGAAAAAAGGATGTTTGAATAATTGAACAAACAGCGAGAATGTGAAAGTCCTAAATGTTGAAAACTCTTAGTCAACTTTATTATTGATGTCAATAAAGTTTTACTTTTCAAAAAATAATATTAGGTTAACCTAATTAAAAGCATTCTAGAACATGCAGTTATGTTGTTAAATAAAAATCATTGTGGCAGGAAAGATTGAAGGCCAATGTTGGAGTCAGGAAGACCTATATTAAAGTCCTCCCTCTGAGCTTTGTGACTAAGCAAACCACTTAATGTCCCAATGTACCAGACTTTCTAAGACTCTGAATTACAGAGAAGTTGTGGGTTTACATTAGTAGAGGGAATTTATATACCAGAAGTTCCTCATTCTGCTGAAATCACAGATGCTGTCTTTGTGTGTGTGTGTGTGTGTGTGTGTGTGTGTGTGCGCGCGCACGTGTGCGCATGCGTAAGTGTAAGTACAATGAATAGGCAGATGCCTGATGCACATGAAAAAGTACTATGCCAATTTAATATGTAGAAATACCTGCTTACCCCAAGCTACCCCCAGACCTGCCCTGTCTTATGAAGTAATCCCATGATGAGTTCATCCAAAGGAAGATCTGTGGACCCACACTTCTCCCAGTATCCATCAGCACCAACATTGATCCTTCTGCACATCCACACGTTCCAGAGGAAGAGGTGCACTGGCGCCCTCTTCTGTATCCTATGATCTTGCCGATAATGAAATCAGTTATTCATTTGTCCCTTGTGTCAACATATACAGCCTTTGAGTAGTAAAGAGAAATAAAGAATTGCCTCACATTCTCAAGGCCATTGAAGGCATAGAGCAGGAAGCAGAACAACAAACTCTATCTGCTTTTGTTGGAGACAGTGGAATGAGGCTTTCGTTTGGGCAATTTTTCTTTTTCTTTTTGTCTTGTTTTTCCCTTATGTCACCTTTAAAGTTGGGGAATTACAAGTGTTAAAATTTACTTTTTTAAAATGATTTTAAATTGTAAATTATCATTAGTTATTACCAATATAGAAAATGCCAAACAGGACCATAATGTTAAAAGCTGCCTATTTTACTTTACTTACCTATTTACAGGAACAACATGCCTGAATTCAACAAGTTGAAAGCAAAGATGACAAAGCGGAAAGGGACACGGGCCTATGCTTGCCAGTGTAGTTGGAGAGATGTAGAAGAACTCACTGACCTCCGGACTGATCAGCAACTTCGATGGGTTTGTGGTAAACATAACGAGTGAAGTTTTCTCACCTTCCAGCCAGTTATTATGGAAGGGCCAGCTTTTATGGGAGCAGACTCTGGGATGATTTTATGATGAAGCAAGGAAGACAACTGTCATCATTTGTGTCTCTTAGCCAAAGAGGGTGGAATTATTTGAGTAAATTTTACAAATTTCCAAAGTCCAATGGGCTAGGAAAGATAATCAGGCTTTAATACTTCAGAATCATTCTTTTCTCCTTACTAATATGTGTGAGTATTGCCTGTTACAAGCAAAGTCACAAGTTAAACTCTCCCCATTTCTTGAAACCCTGGTGTTTGCCCTCTTCTCTGTCTCTTTTTAGGCCACATGATGTTCTTTCACCATCAAGTATTATAAAGACACACACACACACACACACACACACATACACATACATATTTATATATTTCCCCTGATTACATGTTAAAACCATTTTTTAACATCTGGATGGGTTTTTTAAGTTTTGAGTTTCATAGTAATATAAACAAGTAGCATCTAATGTAAATATTGTTGAAATGTTGACTACTGCACACAAAAAGTCCCTCATTCTAAACCATATGTGTATTGGTATCTTCCATATCTGTCCAATCTAGTGTTGCCAAAGACCATAAGAAGTTGTAGCAGAAACCACAGACTGACTGTGATCTCATACCCAGTTGGTGTTCTCTCATCCCTCTGGAGGCATTTTACAGAATTCTCAAATAGGTTAACCCATTTTTGGCATTTTGGTAACCTCATCCTGGTCACTTTGACACTCCATTTATATCAGAAAAACATCTTTTGATGGGCCATTTTACTTGTACATGCTTGTTTCAGTGCGAGAAATTTTGGGGACTCAAAACTATAAATATTCATCAAAAACATACACACATAATACATAAATGCAATAATGGTATATGGATGCCATTGGGTTTTTTTTTCTGTTTCCACTATATTAGTGTCTTCAGTCCCCAGCATATTATTGACATTCAACAAATGATTTAATAATATCCCAATGTCAGTAAAATGGTTTTGAGTTCTCAATTATAAGGTTTTTAGTACTACACTATCTTGTATCTAAAATGTGGATGAAGTATTATGTTTAAGTATAAATGGCTATTTTATTATAGGTAATCTGATTAAAATGTGACTCTTAGTATCAATATAAAAGAAAATTACAATTTCTCCAGATCTTAGAAAAAAAAGCTAATAGATTTTAAACTGTTTACAGATGTCCTACCGAAATCCTTACTAAATTTTAGAATCTTTTCTATCTTTGCCTAATGTGTATCTTGTCCAAAAAAAAAAAGGAGCCAGTGACTTTGTTCTGTGCACTCAGACCTTCATCCTGCCTCAATAAGACATCAAATATAAGTTTCACAGTTTGTGTTTGTTAACATTTTCTATATTATTCAATAAAGATAGTACTGACTTAGCAGCTGGCACTTCTTAAATAAGAATCCTTACCTCCGAGTGTCATGATTTAAATTATGCCAGTAGTGACATCACCCTGTCATGATTTGTTTGATATGCTGACAACTGTCTGGTCCTTCAGCATCCTTTGTAAAAGGGTGCATAACATGCATGTTTAATTAAACTGAATTAAATTTTAAGAACTTCCCAGCATCCCTTGAAATAATTGGAGACAGGGCACCAGCTTTTGGCTGCTGCTGAACTGCCAAGCTGGCGCCCCATGCTTCCCATATATCGTCCCTTGTCCCTGCCTCTTCCTGGTTTGCTTGGACTTCTTAGTGTGGACAGGATTCACATATCAGACCAGGAGGCCACCTCCCTTGGCCTCCAGCAACCTTGGCACCTTGACCATTTAGCCAACCTTTATTCATTCTGTTTCTAGATGAAAGTGGGGGGGAACTACCAAGAACCTCTTTTCTTAGCTTTTCCATACTTCAGACAGAAAGAACTCCTTTGCAACTTTCCCAAGAAATCCAGGTTCATATTTTGGGAGCTGCAAAAATTAAAGAGAAAATGTCTAGTAGCTCTATATCTCCTTGAGTACAAAGTTAATGAGATATGTGTAATGGATATTTAATGTTGCTTGACACTTATATGTTACTGACAACAGAAGTGCTTGATGTAAAAATAAGGTCTAAAAGTTCCTGTTTTCACTCCCATCTATACTCTCTTAAATCCTTTCCAGCTGCCAGTACAATAAAGATAATAATATAGGAGCTAATTTGAAGCAGCTTGTATGGGGAGGGTCTGGGGGGTAGGGGGGAGTATATAAAGAAGGTTTGTATGGTACCTAGGTCATTGATTTGGAAACTGCAAATACAAGTCAGAGTCAAAAAAAGGGCCCCAAGAGAGGAAATCCAACCCCCTTATTTTACAAATGAAGAAACTGACCAGAGAAGTAAACCCCAAGATGTTCATTTCAACAAACACTGAATAGGCATTTGATACTAAACTGTTAAGTGCTAAGAGATACAGAGGTGAATGTAAGTTGAAGATAGTATTATTCAACACTATTACATAATATTGAATGTAAGATCCCACCTGCCCAAGAGTAGGTCCCCAGTTGACTTGCATCTCTATTCCACCTTTTTCTTCTGCCCAGGTTGAAATATACGCAGTTATTCCACAAGATTTGACAACAAAAACGATGACATTTTCTTCAGGAAGCCATTTAAAAGTACATGGTATGGGAGAGGGAGGACGGTGGAAAACCCAGAATCAGCCCTCTCCTCATAGCCCACATGGGCTATAATAAGCCCACATTCACATGAATGTGTTTATTAACTTAGCTGTCAACTTTGATGAATAGAAAACTCGAAGGGAGAGCTACGGACATAGGGACAGAGATGGAACAAAGGAATGACATTTTTTTCACGAGGGAGGTGGGATGGTCAGAGAGAAGGTCAGCAGCATGAGAGCACAGACACCTGTGATCACTGGGAAAGCTAGCCCTGACCACTTCACAGTTTTGTCCAAGGCCAACATAAAAATTAAAGCATCAAGGAAATAGACATTTTTACTAATTCTCCCTTTACACCAATATTTGTAAGACACTAAACATTATCTACAAAGGTTAATCACTGGATTGGCAATCAGGATACCTGGATTCTAGTGCCAATCTCTGTGACCTCAAGGAAATCCTCTTTCAATGCTTAAAGTACATTTTCCTATAGAAACAAAGTTATAAGGGCTGGGTAAATTCCCAGGTTAGCCCACAGAACCTAGCCAATATACATGTAGCTGAAATACTGTACATGTGCCATGAAAAGTAATAGAAACAATGCTGTTACAATAAGAAAATGAAAAAAAATTATAATGATTTTTAAAAGTTAAATGCTAGTGCTCAAGGAAAATCAGATTTAATTGGAGTGGGAGGGGGGGAGGAGGAGGAGGAAGAGACAGCAGAAAACCTTTTGCGCAAATTCTAAAGGAGCAAAAGTATTGGTGAGAAGTCTAGCTCCGAAAGGATTTCAAGGATCTTTCAAAGACTTTGGACATGTATGGTACTGATTCTGTAGCAGGTCTAATTTCATGCAAAGAAAAAAAATTTTTTAATTTCCCTTTTCTTCCTACAGATCTATCACTTATCAGCCATGATTAAGGTCATTTTTAAAAATCTCATAAATGGAAAGGTAGGAGGAGGGGGAGATAAAGGATTTGGATTTTCCTAAAATAACTAAATAATAGTTATAAGCAAGAGGGAAGGACTTAAGAGAAATGGATATTGCAGAGATGTGAAATTGTATCACCTATAAAGAATGAAAATATAGTTTATAAAAGGGGAGGGGGAGGACGGAATACAGTTATGTATATGATCCCTGAGAAGAGGAAGCAAACAGACAGATCCCTCTGTTGGCCACCAGGGGGCAGAATCAGTTTAGGCTTTTTCTCTGGTCCTCAGTTTCTTCATCTGTAAACTGAAAATTGACCTACATGATTTATTTCTACCTCTAAAAGTTTTTTTTATCAGATTCTTTGATTTGACAATTATGAAGATTTCACCATTCTCAAATGCTTGTATATCACTCTGGGTTCAGAATTAGGGAAGGGGAGGGGAAGGAGGACGGAGAGAAGGGTAAGTATAGAGCTTCCCTTTCTTACCTAAAACTGCCGCTGGAAACTTGCCTTTCTCCTCAACCTTCAAGTCCCTGGGAAAGTCTCTCCCCATCTCACGCTAACCCCCATGAAGACTAGGATTGTTTTTCCTCAAAAGATAGTGAAACCATCCCAGAAATTTAATTGGCTCAGGCTATTGACACAACTTCCTGGTGATTTAAGTACCAAGGATGCCAAGAAAGGAGGAATCACCTGGCTCCTCCGTCAGACCTTTTGATCAGCTGACCAGAATAACCCACCACAAAGGCAGGGAAGCAAACATCTACCTGAATCAATATTGCGTCCTCACGAATACCCTTTCCTTACTATGGCTAAGAAAGCTGCCTTTTCTTAGCTGTTAAGTGACAACGATATTGTAAGGCCAACCCCTTTGAAGGATTTGGGGTCTCTGCTCATCATAGTGACGAGCCACAATTCCAGAGGACAAGAATGAGACATGGTACCCAGCTCCTGATAGAGAAGTAGGGGGGGCTCAGAGTGCAAAATGAGACAAACACAATTTTGTTGCTGTTAACTGTACACATTTGTAAAAGGAGTTTCTTTTTTTTTTCTCCATTCTCAATGGGACACAAGGAGAATGCAGATTTTTGCTAATTAAAAAATGTACAATGTTAAGTTAAAAGAAAAATTCCAGCTGAGGATCCCTGCCTCTGGAAGTGCATTCCTGGAATTTTTTACTCCCACCCTTGATTCCAGAGCTAATCCATATTTTCTTGGGTCCAACTCCTCTCTTTTCAACATCAGGGCACCCTGCCCTTTCCCTAGAACCCATGGAGTTCCACTCAGTCTCATGCCCAGGCCAGAGTCCCCAGTATTGTCCATTCCAACTCTATTGGCCTTGGGCCCAGAGCTTCCCTCAATTTTTGGCCATCCCAACTGCTGTTCCCAAGAGTAAGCCACAAACAACCTTCAAACTGTCTCTAATATTGTTCCTCTGGAAGAAACTGCTCTCCAACCCTGATCACTCACCCACCCACCCCCACAATGCGGCTAAAGTTGTGTTTTTGTGAAACCGAAACTGTTAGGAATGATGCTTTTGTGAGGTTGTATCCATATGGTACTGTATCACAATGCTTCTGATATAACTTGAGTTAAATTGGATGTTGTGAGCCATTAACCACCATTGTGTGTTTCTCTGAGGAAAATGCCTTCCTGATTTCCAAATAACAGACAAATGTTGGAACTTTTAGAACACATTATCTATACTATAGCAGGCCATGAAGTACATTAAAAAGTCCATCTTCCCATCAACCCTTAATCTAAACCACATGCTTGAAGGAACCTTCCAAAATATAAAGACAGTATATACAAAAATTTAGGGGTCCTAGACTTTGACAAGTTTCAGATAAGAATGCTCAGATCATCTGATGAGATTAGGGGCTTGTCAAAAATAAAATTAAATAAAATCAACATCCAGAGCCCAGACAAGGATTCAAAAAGCATTTATTAAGCACTTACTCCATGCTGGGCAACTAAGTGGTGAAACGGATGGAACAACAGGCCTGAAGTCAGGAAGACCCAAGTTTAAATCCAGTCTCAGATACTTACTGGTTGTGTGACCCTGAGCAAGTCACTTAACCTCTGTTGGCCTCAGTTTCCTCAACTGTCAAATGAGGATAACAGCAGCACTTACTTCCCAGGGTTGTTGTGAAGATCAAATGAGATAGTATCTGTAAAGCGTCTAGCACAGTGCCTGGCGTATAGTAGGTGCTTAATAAGTGTATATCTTCTTCCTTCTCACTAAACGCTGGATACAAGTGAAAAAGCAAGATTTTGAATTATGGAGTAAAGGATGAGGAGGAGGGCTACTGCCAGGTGAAAGCATAAATACATATGTGACATGGAAGGCAGAAGTATCTGACATTAAAAATCCATCCATTTTAGGGCCAGCTAGGTGGCGCAGTGGACAGAGCACCAGCCCTGAAGTCAGGAGGACCTGAGTTCAAATCTGGCCTCAGACCAAACATTTGACACTTACTAGCTGTGTGACTCTGGGCAAGTCACTTAACCCAATTGCCTAAAAAAAAAAAAATTCATCCATTTGTTAGTGTGGCCATGTGGCCACGCAGCTCCCATCAGCCAACATCAACCTGTTGGACCTGGCTCCCTTGGAAGAGCTTTCATGGAGAAATTTGCTAGGAAGAGCAGAGTTAAGGAAGCAGGTTCAGAGCCTGTGTGGCGCCTTCCATCTTGATCCCTCGGGAACTTTCTAGAACTGGAACAGCAGCTCCAGACACGCACTGCTCTGTTTTTTCCTATAATGATTCTAAAAGGAATTTATGCTGCTGAAGCTGCTGCTATGTCTAATGATTTGCTCAGTAAATGGGCCAAGAAATATTGTGACTAGTACAAGGGATTCTGATAGGGCCAGTTTTGGGTGAAATGATCCCATCTGCTCCTTAAAAATTATATATTGTTCTCCCTTGACTTCAAATCAGAGAAGGAAGCAGATGCTCCAACTTTACTTCGTGAAAAGGAATTTAGAGGAGACAGGGTTCTGCCCCAGTTGGCAGCATCCCCTGATGCTTCTGTAGGCCTAGTGAATGTTCTCTTTCCCTTTGATCCTCTGTCCCTTCTTTTATCACTACTACATGTTCCCATTGTTACTAAAAAGAAATTAGTGGCCACTGACTCTTGTTGAGTAATCAATACGAGAAGTTCTGGAAACTGGTATCTGAAAAAACATGCAGCTTATCATAAGAGGCCTACAGGAAGGTAGAGGTGTGATGACTGCTATCCTGGGAGATCGCAAACCTTGTCAGTCACTACACAATTCCCATGAGCCAGCTCGAAGATGATTTACAGGAGAGAATATAAACAGAGAAAGAGAAATCAGCTGACGCAAATAAAAACATCTTCTGAAACAAGGAGAAAATAAGCCCCCTGGAAGGTAGCCTTGGGCTAGCCCATTACAAAGGAGAAGGGGGGGGGGGGAGAGTCTTTCTAAAGGAGCTAGGCCCATGCAATACTCACCTTAATCATATGTGTGTATTATTATTAATAAAAGTGATAGCACTTTTCAATTTTTATGTCATCTGATCCTCACAACCCCGCAAGGTAGGTGTTATAATTATCTCCATTTTACAAGTGAGGAAACTGA